TTATTTTTCTTGAGATGTATATATATAGATATAGAGAGAGAAAGATTAGAAAAATCAGGGTGAAGAGAAAATTAGGATTGAAGAAGAGAATAAAACACAGGTAGCCTTCATGGATAACCTAAAACCTTTCAGGCTTAAATACAACTCTAAGTGTCAGTTTCAACAAAACAAGAGACAGAAACACTATGGTTCATCAGATCAATAAAAGGAACAGAACAATTATAACAAAAACAAGCCTAAGACTTGTGATCTTAGCATCAGAATCACCCTGCTCTACTCTACCAACCACACCATAACCAATGCAATATGCCAAATTACCCCCTGAAATGTGTAAATGATTTGAATAAAAACTAAAGCCTAGCAAAAACACTGCAAGTTTCTATTTGTTCCCTTTTACCTAAACTTGATAAATTGAGTGTTACAGCTTTTTGTTTGTTTTAATTTATGTATTTGGTACAGGGTCTCCAGTTCGACTCTTAGTGCTGGCTCAGCGTGCCTGGGGGCAGGGCTGGTGTGGCATGTGGTGCAGAAGATGGAACCCTGATCCCTGTGCTTGCCTAAACAGACTCTCAGTCCACTGAGCTGTCTTGCCTACCCTTCAGTGGTATGGTTGATACATTGTTTATACGTTTAACTAAGTAACTCAGCAGGGGCCTGGGTCTCACCCTGTAAACATCCTCATCCTGTGCAAGAGGAGAGCACTGGTGAGGTGTGAGTGCTACACCCACCCTGGCAGATGTAGCCTGCTTATAACATAAGGGAGGGAAAGAGGCTTGCTGCTCTCCTTTTTTGTTCTTGTTGCTTTTGCGTTTTCTGCCACCTTGACCTGCTGCCTCTGTGCCATGTCACCCTGTCTTGGAGCCAGCTGATTACAGACTGAAACCTCCACAAACCATGAGCTAAAAAAACCTCTGCTTCCCTAATTTTGGATGTCAGGCATTTTGTCTCAGCAATGAGAGAAAAGTAACCAGGATACTTGAGTGCAGGATAAAAATCTTGAAATTCATGAAGAAGATTCTGTCATCTATAGCACTGCGCTTTTTATTATACTTACAAGAAATCTGTTTCTATGCAGAAGCACACATTCTCGGATGGCTGTCCTTGTAGAAAACTCTAGTTTAGGAGCAATGCCCTAAAAATAAAATAGCATAACAAAAGCAAATAAAGTTCTTGGAAATCGTGTTTTGGCCCATCTCACCATAATTCAACATCATGCAAGAACCCAATTGCTCTTCTATGTGGATGACATACTCCACATACCTTACCTAATACTGTATATATAAAATAAAGAACACCTGAACACGTGTTACGTGTATTATGTACTATACCCAGGCCTAGGTACTTTGATGTACTAGCTCATGTGACCCTACCACACACTTGTGAAGTAGATCCTAAGAAAATCTCCACTTACAGATGAGGAAGCTGACTGCTATAGAACCTTCCCCATCTAGTAATGGCAGGGCTGGTAATTCAACCCAGACCTTCTGACTCCACTGCCTATGCTGTCAGATACTCTATTTTTTTTTTTCTGGTAGTACTAGGGATCGAACTCAGGATCCTGTGCTTACCAAGTAAGCCCTCAGCTACTCTATTCAAAACACAGGCCCATGAGGTTTAAAGGAATCACCTGCAAGGAGGACAGACAGAGGGTCTCCTTCCTTGTTTAGCTGCTTGGAAAAACCTTGCTTTATATCTTACATAAAATATATATGCTCATCAGATCTATCTCGAGCTCTTCTTTTTGTTTGATTAACTGATGGTTTCATTTTTCATCAGTACCACACTATCTAAAAGACTGGTGATGAGGAACTATATCAAACAAAAACAATAAAACATGGAAATATACATATATTTTCATTATAGTGGAAGAAATAAATATAATGATTAAGTTGATATAGTGAGAAAAGAAATGGTTTGCCTGACCTATAACAAGTAATTTGTTCTCGGTTCTTGTATCTTTAAAAAGCAATGTGATCACCAGGTGAAACAAATAGAGGATTAGCATCATGCAGCGACTACAATGGCAAGGACTGATCCGTGAGAGTCCCTGCCCCATCACTCAGCTCTGTGGCCCTGAGTGCATTTCTGAAACGCTCTCCACCAGCTTCCCATCCACACAATGAGAGGTCACCTCCCAAGGTGAGGGAGGGTGAAACTCCACATAATGCCTGGCATCTAGTTAGGACACAATGAACACCCACTATTGGAAAGACTGTGGCAGTTGGCCATATTTTGGTTCATAGAACATATGAGAGAGGGGGCTTGCAGGTTAGCTCAGTTGTTTAAAGGGCCTGCTAGGACAAAGTCAAGTCAGGTACAGGGGACAGAGGTTCGATTCCCAGCTCCACATTCCCTACCAGGCCTGCCCTTAAAGCAGCCTGAGCCAGCCCCCCCCCCCCCAAAAAAAAAAAAAAATCCTTCACAAACTTATGGGGCTGGGGCTGGTGAGATGACTCAGTGGTCTAAAGCACCTACTTAGAACAAGCTTAGCAAAGCACAGGGACCGCGGTTCAATCCCCCAGCACCACATGCCAGCCAGCCCCGCCCCCTGGTGGGCTGAGCTGGCCACACACACACACACACACACACACATAAATAAATAAAATTAAAAAAAAAAAAAAACTTATGGGGCTGACCTGACAGCTCAGCGGACTAAAGTGCCTGTTTAGGCAGAGCACAGTGGCCAGGGTTCAATCCCAGGCCCGCCATGCCAGCCCCGCCCCCAGGGAGTGCTGAGCCAGAGATTGAAACTGGATATGGTGGTACCTGCCTGTAATCCCAGAGTTTGGGAGGCTGAAAACAGGAGGATCACTACAAGTCTGATCTACATAGTAAGACCCTGTAGACCCTGTATCCCCTGTACTAAATGCATAAAAAAAGAACATATGTGAAAAAATGATCCCATCTATCTTTTTAGAAATTATTTAAAATATAGTGTAATTTAATTGTAAGAAATGACACTTCTCATACATAAGGCTATTTCTATGCACTTGTATTAGTTTATTACTTAACATTTATAAATATAGCTTCCTATAGGTTTTTTTCTATGTATGTCCACAAAATTAAACAGCTCCCACTTAAGAAAATACAAGATACTGGTAAGTGAAATAAATCAGACTCACATGTGCAAAGGTCATACTGTCTTGTTAGGGTAAGAGCCTGAAATAGTAAATAAAATCTGAAAGGTTCAATAGATACTATGAAGGGGAATCTGTTCAATTAGAAAGAAAAACTGGGAGGAGGAAAATGACAAAAGAAAGGAAGAAAAAAGACATATTTAGGTATGTTTGCAGGATAGCTTGGATAATTGGATAGCTTGGATTTTTGCTGATTTACTGAAAGCAGTTAAGGCTTGAATTTTTTCTGTTCTTCTTTCTTCTTTTTAATTTCTTATAACTTTTTTTACCAATTTTGCATATTTATATATTGTAATCTAAATAACTAATTGGAAGATAACATTATGTAATACAACAACCATTACTGAATTCCTATTATTTTGTTTAGAGAAATTCTGTATTGTTTCTAATGTTTTTAACCATTTTGTATTCTCTTTAAAAAATAAATAAAATGAATGAAATTAAAAAAGAATGTTTCTCATTATCTTCATACTTAGCTGAAAACCAGGCCAATGTTTGAAAATATATTTAACCAAATTTGAGCAAACCAAAGTCATTATAGCAGAGTTAACTCGGGCTTATTTTTATCAGTTTTTATTCCCTTGTAGCTTCAGAACAGCAATATGCCAATAACTCAAAGCAATAAAGGCAAGCACAGGTGTCCTGGAAATAAGTGATACATGAAGATGATGTTGAAGGGGGAAAATATGTTACCCACCAGGTCCTCAAAGATGATTTCTATTAGTTCACTGAAAGGAACAATTAGTGCTTATATTGTTTGATTAATTTTGTATGCCTATATCTGGTTATCTGAAGAACTGCTTTGAAGATAACAATATCTTATCAATTTGTTAATTTCTTATATTGTTTTGTATTTCTGTACCATTTTTATTTTTAATTCTCTTTAAAATTAAAAAAAGATAACAGAAGGCTTAAAATGCTCTGTTTTTTATTTGAGCAATATTTGATGAATGTCTACTGCTTGAAATACTAGAATCTGAAGCTCTGTCACCACAGGCATCCCGTAAACAGAGATCCTACAAAGACAAATTCTTCACAATAGTCTCAGCGAAGTGAAAACAATAATACTTCATTAAGTAATAATAGTAGCAATTCATGGGCAGCAGCAGAAAAGTGGACTGTTGAATGTGCTTTTTATCATTCACAGATATGACCCTTAAAATGGAGAATATCCAAGAGGCATAAAAGTCAGGAAAATTGTCGTGTTTGCTGTGGAGTTAGAAATCATCAGATAACATCAAAGTGAATATCCTGAATTAGGGCTCAGGTGATGCCTCCAAACAGATTACCAGCTGAACAGGTGCTGTGCCTTTCAGGATCCTTCAGCAATATCAAGCACTGAGCCACTTGTCAGTATCTGCTCTATTAAATGAAGACCTAGGCCCGGTCAAATAGCTCAGTGGATTAAAATGCCTGCAAGCAGGCGCAGGGGCCTGGGGTTTAATCCCCGGGTTTGCTATGCTGGTCCTACCCCCAGAGCACACTGAGATGGCAATTGAGACTGGGCATGGAGGCACACGCCTATAATCCCAGCTCTTGGGAGGCTGTAAACAGGAGAATCACTATGAGTCCCATTTAGTAGTGAGACCATGAATGCCCTGTAGACCCTTCCCTAAAATACAAAAAAATAAAAAATAAATAAATGAAGACCTAATATCTGCGGTGGCTAACTTGGGAATTGTTGAAGGAGAGCCTATATTAAAAGTTAAATGCACAAAATAAATGAGAGACAAAATTACTGCCATTACTTCTTTACTAAGTCATAATACTTATCATTGAACAAATCATTCCCCTAATCTACAAAGGAAAGTTTAAAAAGCAACCATTTTATATCTATATGACAATGTGAACACAGTAAGAACTCAGCCTGATTAGACAGCAAGATTTCTACCTCTCAGATCAGTAATGGAAATCAGTGCAATTCAATATCTTCAGTTGGTATTGCCTTTTTTTTTTTTTTTTTTTTTTTTTTTTTTTTTTTTTTTTTTTTTTTTTTTTTTTTTTTTTTTTTTTTGTGTGTGTGTGTGTGGTACCAGGGATAGAACACAGGATCTTGTGCTTGCCAGGCAGGTGCTTAAGCCACTGAGCTACCTCCCCAGCCCCAATATCTTCAGTTGAGCATATAAACAGAATTAGTAACAGAAGTGAGATACTAAACAAAATGAAGCTATCTGTTCAGGATCAACCCTGCCAGCAATAAAATGATCATGTCTCCAGAATGTTTCTCCCAGAAAAGACAGTCTCTTTAATAAATGGTGCTGGGGGCTGGAGAGATAGCTCAGCTGCATAAGCGCCTGCCTGACAAGCACAAGGTCCCGAGTTCGATCCCCAGTACCACAGCCATGCTGGCCCAGGAACCAAGTGTTGTAATCCCAGCATGCAGGATGCTAAAACAGAAAGATCACTACAAGTCTGAACTACATAGGCAAGACCCTATACCAAAAGTAAAATTTAAAAAAAAGTGGTGTTGAGAAAACTGGATATCCACATGCAAAAGACTGAGTCTACATATTTCACCATGTAATAAACAGAAACAATCTGCTGGAAGATAAAACAGGTAAAACTCTTGAAGATGTAGCCATAGGCACAGATTCTCAGAGCCCAAACAGCACAAGAAATAATACCAAGAATCAACAAATGAGAACATATAAAATTA